TCCTCTTTGATCTCCTTTTTCACAGTACTGTAGTTTTCAATGTAAAGCTCTTTATGGCCTTCATTAGACTGATTTCTAGGTATTTCATTTGCTTGGATACCACTGTAAAAGGTGTTGTTTCCCTAATTTTTCTCTCAGTTAGTTATTTGTGGATAGGCAGGCTATTGATTTTTGTGTATGACTTTGTATCACTACTGAATTTGTATTGCTACTGAATTTGGTTATGAAACCTAGAAGTCTTTCGGTGGAGTTTTGAGGGTCTTCTATATAGAGTATTATGTCATCCACAAATAATAATAATTTAACCCCTTCCTTTTCTATCCTTATTCCTTTTATTTCTTTTTCTTGTATAATTGTTCTGGCTAATGTTTCCAGAACTATATTGAATAAGAGTGATGATAGTGAACATCCTTCTCTTGTTCCTGATTTTGGAGTGAAAATTTTCAGTTTTTGTCCATTTAGTATGATGTTGGCTGTTGCTTTGACATGGATGCCTTTTATCAGATGAGATAAAGACCATCTATCCCAATTTTCTGTAGGATTTTTTAAAATCATGAATGGGTGTTGGACCTTGTCAAATGCTTTTTCTGCATATATTGAAATAATCATACAGTTTTTGGCTTGGTTGATATGATGTATTATGGTTCTTGATTTGCTGTGAGCCATTCCTGCATTCCTGGATGAATCCTACTTGGTCACGGTGTGTAATCTTCTTGACAGTTTGCTGCATTCTACTTCCCAGTATCTTTTTTGAGGATTTTTGTGTCTGTATTCATTAGGGAGATTGGCCTGTAGTTCTCTTTTTTGGCTGGATCCTTCTCTGGTTTTGGTACCAGGGTAATACCTACTTCCAGGATAAGTTTGGGAGTATTGCTTCCCTTTCAATTTCATTAAAGAATTTGAGAAGTAGCAGCCTTAGGTCCTCTAAATTTCATGTAGAAGTCAACAGTGAATCCATTAAGGCTTAGGCTTTTCCTTGTTTGTAGGTTTTACATCTTCAATTACATTAACTGTTACTGGTGTATTTAGAATCTTTATACCTTTTGGATTCAGCTTTGGTAATTCATATGTGTCTAGGAATCTGTCCATTCTCTGTTTTCCTTTTTATTAAAATACAGGTTCCAGCCAGGCATGGTGGTGCACACCTGTAATCCCAGCGCT